TGTGTGTGTGTGTGTGTGTGTGTGTGTGTGTGTGTGTGTGTGTGTGTATGTTAGTAAAAACGTGTGATTGATAGAGTGAGGGGGAGGGTGTTGAAGGTGGACTACTATTCGCTTCCAATTAGAAGGAAAGCAGCAATAGCCGAATCGGTCTACTTCAGTCTCGCTTCTTTTTATCTCACCTCACTGATCCGTCACACGCACTTCTGCTTTTAGCTTTAAAGTAGCTGAAAAATGACGTTTGAGTCAGAGTCGGTGCCTCCTTCAAGCTTTGCTGCGGAGCCACCTCTATTTCCTGTCGTGACAGGGCGCATCCAGGGGAACAAGAAGGGAATTTCAAGCACAATTTTCAGGGCAAAGCGGGGCATCACAGTCAGGTGTTCTAAAGGATTTCACCTGGACACAAAAACTCAATCCTGGTCATCCTATTCAGAGAGGAAACACAACCAGTCTGTCACTGACCACATGGCCCTATTCAGTTGCTTTATTCGTGCATGCACCTGTGTTTCCCTCACTTTTACTCCTCTCTCCTTTGAACACATGACAACCACAAAGCTTTCCTGGAGCCAGGTTTTCCCTTTGGTTGTCACCAGAGTCATGACATGTCTGAGCGGCGCCCGCTGTGAGAACAGACCAAAAGAGGGCAAATCTGGAGCAAAAACCACAAAGCGAGTTCTGAATTTCTGTGTTTGTAGAGTAAAGACTTATAAACATGCACACTTGCATGCACCTGACTCACATTCTCACTGAGAGGTAGCGACAGCTGGAATCTGTGTGCGTTCGACTCACAGCCCTGCAGTTAGATTGGAAGGCATTCACGACCACAGAAACACTGCATTATCTAACACACACACACACACACACACATGCTCATTTGACCCTATTCACTTAGCTCCACTGGCAGTTGTTTATGAGTGCTGCGTCCATTAATAATTTTTTGCGTATGAAAGACAGAAATATCTCTCTATCTTATATTTTCACCATTTAGGGTACAGGCTCATGACCAAATGCAGGAATAGCATAAATCAGATTAAATCAGCACAGGAATGAATCTTTTCACTGCGACTCCACTGTGGGTTCAGGTTGTGTTCTCCTGTCGGGAGATTTACTCTGATTTTCTAGCAATATTGTGTAGCGGTGCTTGGTGGGGAGAATAGCAGCGCAGAGGCTGGGAAATAGGTGTGTGTGTGAGCGTATTTGTTTGGGTGAGTGTGTTTATCTGTTATCATGCCTGACTGTACTTCTGAGTGTGTGATGTGGGAGTTGAAAGTGGATAACACCTTTGGGGGGCTCACTGTCTTGCAGAGTGGGCCTAAACTGTTCATCTCCCCCCACGTTCCCCCAGAACAAAGACTTATTCACACACAAGTGGAATCTCTCTCTCTCTCAAATACACATACACACACACGGGCGTGCGCGCACTGCCTTAAGAGGGAGAATTGACATCGAGCTTCTTTGAGCACCATCATTAACCATCTGGCCTGAAGGGGCCAAAGCATACGGTAACGGCAGTGCCAGCACACCCAGGTGTGTGCTGAGTGTGTGTGTGTGTGTCTGTTCATTAAAGAGCTGGTGTGAGTGTATAAAGCAGGGGGAAAAAAAGGGAACGAAAGGACACGATCAGCCTCATGACTGCCTTCGGGCGCGCGATGGCCCGGGATTTAACTTGGAGTGTGACGCAGCCATTACGAGTGACAGCCACTTTGTTACGACACCTGACCCGGGGTCAGCTGCTTTGAGATAAGCTCAATTAGCATTAAAAGGCAAAGCTTTTCCGAGCTCGTCCTCTCCGAGAAGGTCAGTGTCCCGTTCCTTGGGATTTCTTGGGTTAGTGTTGCGCGACACCACTCTGTTTGTTTAATGGATGGCCGGGGTGGATCTGTTGATTGGCTGGCGTAAAACCTGAGATATTGAAGGAATGAAGGGCAGTTTGAGGGGACTTTGCGGCAAAGAGGAGCGGGGCAAGAAAATCTTCATATTGCCTTGACTCTGAGGTCAAGCCATTAGCTTCAGTGTGTGCGTGTGTGTGTGTGTGTGTGTGTGAGAGAGAGAGAGAGAGAGCACTTGCCACGGAGCCAGCATCTGACTCTGCATCTATGCACACATGGGAGGCACACGCAGATGTGTGTGTGTGCGCGCATATACACTGCTACATAACACAGACAGGTACTGTTCGGTAAGCTGCCCCCCCCCCCCCCCCCCCAACAGGAACTGAACCATGTTTTTACCAT